AATTCATTTAATATTCTCTGCTTTCCTCTGAAATGAAGCTTTAAGTAGTTAACCATAACTATGGTAGAAAAAAGTGGCTAAAAGAATAACTAAGCAGTCTGTACAAAACATTGGAATTATAGTCAAAATATGTCCAAATTATATGTAATATGTATTATGTATTGTATAATATGTATCAAGATATAGTTAAAAAAATAAAGTCATTATTGTCCTGAATTCATGATGTATCAGGCTATAAATGTACAAATGTTTGAATGATTCTTACATAAAGTTCTGTTGAATATTGTGCTTTTTCATGTCTCAGATCCCGACTGCGGACAATTTCAAATACCTTCAGTCATTGTGCTTATGGGTGATAATGGGATTGCAGTTCAAAGTATATAGAGGCTGTTGAGTTGGAGAGATTGCTCTAGAAGCTTCTCAGTTTGCAGATTACTTTTACAAAAGCATCTTGGCTAAAAATTCAAAACAACTTTTTGAAAAGAAAGAATATGGCATTCCAGACAAGCCAGCACAAGACTTTTGGTTTGCTAATTTGAAGTGTGCTTAGCCCTTGTTGTGACATGTCTATATTTGAGAAGAAATGCTATTATTTCCCTTAAGTCTCTCCTCATATAAACATATATTGCTTACATTGACAGTATACAAATGTTCTGAGTGGTTGTTTTAAAAGTTTATTTCCAGAAGGTGGAATGAAGGAAATAATAATTGGAGCTAGAAGATTTACCATTCCAGTTTTAAGGAAAGACTTTAAGAGAAAATAGATTTAGGTTGTAAACTGTTTCAAAAGATTGGAGCTAATACTATTGTAGCAATGATACAGAATATTTTCTAAGTCTCACAATCATCCATATTCTGAGAAAATAACAAAAAATTATTTGAAGAAAATAAGACTTGCAGATCAAACATACTTGCATTTTTATTATCATATATGAAATAAATGGGTACCACTTAGAACAATCTTATGCTTGATGGATTACAAATTTATGAAAGTTTGGTGTAGTGATTTAAGGTACTGGTTCAGAAACAGGAGGCTCTGTATTCTAGTCCTCTCTTAGGTATGATTGCTGGCTGGATGACTTTGGGTCAGTCACTCTCTCTCAGCCCAATCCAGCTCATAGAGTTGTTGCTGTGGGGAAAAGGGAAGGAGGAAAAAAGATATTATGTATGCTTGTCACCTTGAGTTACTTAGAAGCAGGATAAAAAAATAATCATTAAAAAGCTTCATTATACTTTATTTGTCCTGTTCAGTGTTGTTCCAAATATACTAATATTTATATATTTGCAAAACATAAAAAGCTAGCCACTTGCATACCAGTTATAGCTGCAATTTCAGGGGGAAAAAGTAAACAAAATTGGACGTGATTATGTTTAAAAGTCGATTTCCCCCCAACTTGGTATTGTCTAGATATGGTGGGATTACAACCCCTATGATGGTGACATCAATAGGAATTACATGTAAGTTGTAGTCCAATACATTGGAGAGCAGTAGATTGGGGAATGTTGCTTAAGATCATCTATCCTGACAATACTTTTCTGTAATTATTACTTATAAGAACTTTTTTCAACATCAGAAAGTGTTCCAAATTAAACCCTCTGTGTTGAATGTGTTTTGAATGTTAAATTATTTGGGGCTGTAAATTAGATTAGGAAGTTGAAAAACATTCCATAAGAAAAAATGCCAAACCATTTCCTACCATTCCTAAAAAAACAACAACACAAGAGCATAATTGTGGAGTCACCAGGAATCAAGTTTGATTTAGAGGCTTCAGCATTCTTTTAGCTATAATTCATTCCCATGTGGTGCAGAATGGAAGCATGTAAGATACACATGCATTCTTGATCATGTGCTTTTTATTCACATTTTGTAGTTAGAAAAGTGAAGGGCTTCCTTAAAGTTGCACAGCAAATTGGGCACAAAAGTAGGAACTGAACTCAGCTCCCTTCCCTATGTCCTAAGTGTTACTGAACTGTATATTAGTTGGATAGTAAGTTGAACTCTAGGCATGTCGTTGAATAATTTGCTTCCATATCTGCCTGGTCAAAAGATATCCAGGCTACTTGAAGAGTACTTCCTTGTTGCCACAAGAACACTTTACAAAAATATTTGTAAACTTTAGAAAAAAGGGGAAAGACTACTTGAAATATAAACGGTGACTTTAAAAAAAAGCAGATTTTCCTCTGTATGATTTCTAGGCCTGCCTTTTGTGCAGAACTGTAATTTTTCTATTTTTATAAGCTGGGCTGCAATTGTGGCTTCAGCTAAGCACATACTTGGTTTATGCGTAGCCGTTTTCTCTCTTTCCCTCTCTTGTTTGCACTGAAACCTTAGAGTACAAACTTAAAGTGTTGGCACTAGATATGAAGACATAATGCATTTAAACTGCTTTATAATTATTTAATGTAATAGAAGGATTTTTAAATATTGTAGTTTTAATTTTTAATTTAATAGACTTTCTGCTAACTGGGAATTTAATAATGGGATGCAAATAAAATAAAATGCTTTACTGCCTAAGCTTTTCTAACTTGCTCGTCTATGCTTTAGTAATCATTCTGTTGTGAAGCCCCTTCAACCAATATTTTAATGGGTGATGCAATTATTACAGATAAATAAGATTTGCTACATTTATTCTTACCTCCTCACCCTATTTATTTTCTTTACTGTTGTAAGACAGTAGTGAGAATTGGGGAATCAACAGAAGCTACTTCATCTATTTTTAGTTTTGGACAGTAAAGAAAGTGGCAGACCCCAAAAGGTCTGAGCAGGAAGTAAGACATTAGGTTTTCAATGAGGTACCATAAGAGGTTTTGAAAGATTTAAACTAGTCAAACTCTTAATTTCAGGCTTGGGCTAATTTACTTGAACGAATTCAATGATTATTTTATGTTGCCTAGAACCTGGAAATCAAGCTTGATTCCTGGTAACTCCACAGTTAAGTTCTTGCATTTTTTTTGGAACATGTTTTAAGCTGTTGTTTATTTATTTGTACCTTTTAAACAATATGAAGTTTCAGGAATTCCAGCATTCACTCAGACTTAATATCTTTAGAAGGCGATAAAAACTGAATGTAAGATGGGGGCCTTCTTTTTATACTTTGGAGGCTAGACTAACTTACTCTCAAAGAGAATATGGAGTGGGAATAGAGAGAAAGATTATTCATTTCTGTCCATTACTGCTGCTTCCTTGCTCCCACTGTAATACACCACAGAGTGTTACTAACCATCAACAGCCTTCGACCAATTCCTAAGGAGCATTACCTCAAGGAAAATGTACTGATGAATTTATACTCACAAATTTTATTCCAGGATTGGATTAGAAATGATCCTGTGGAATCATATAACCAACTCCTAATCCATCCTCTTTTTCATAACAGATGAAATGTGTAAACACTGGATTTAAACTACCGTGTTTCTCACAAAATAAGGCCGGGCCTTATTTTTTTTTGAGCCCCCAAAAAACAGCTAGGACGTCTTTTCGGGGGTGAATTAATTTCTTCCCCCCCACGCACTAGCGCCGTCTCCAACAACAGCGTCTGAGTCGCTCCCGCTTTTCCCCGTCCCCGTAACAACAGGAAAAAAAACATTTTGGGGTACCTGGGAGCACCGCATGCTGCGTTTTGGTTTAATCCTGAGTGGCCAGGCTGAGCTGCAGCTGTCCCTCTCTCGCCAGCGCCGTCTCCAATAACAGCAGCAGCAGCGGCAGGAACCGTGGAAGTTACGGAGGCAGCTCCCCACCTGAGAAGTGGCTGAAATGCTTCCACGGTTCCCGCCACCGCTGCTGCTGTTATTGGAGATGGCGCTGGCGAGAGAGGGACAGCTGCAGCTCGGCCTGGGCGCTTGGAATGCAGGGATGGGCTGCGCACCGGGACTTTTGCAAACTTGCAGAGCCCGAGGCTGGAGCACCAAGCGTAGCAGCAGCAGAGACGCTCGCTCAGCTCTTCTCACACCCACCCAGCCACTCGGGATTAAACCAAAACACAGTGCGCGGTGCTCCCAGGTACCTCAAAATGTTTTTTTTCCTGTTGTTATGGGGACGGGGAAAAAGCGGGAGTGACTCAGACGCTGTTGTTGGAGACGGCGCTGGCGAGAGAGGCGCCAGCACCGTGGAAGCTACGGAGGCCTGAGAAGCGGCTGAAAAGCTGCCGGACATCCACGCTGATGCCGCCCACCTGCTGACCCGGTAAGGGAGCCCTCTGTGCTCCACCATGGTGTTAGGAGCAGCTGATGGTGAGGCGTAGCTGCCCGCTGGGCACTCCTAATGGCAAGTTCCTCCCTGCCTTCCCCCCACAATTTCGCTTGTTTTAAATTAGGCCTATATTTGGGGGGAGGGGCTTAATTTCATTTTATGCCTAGAAAATATGCTGGGTCTTCCTATTGGGGGGGGCATATTGTTGGAGAAACACGGTATTATGTAAATTGAGGAGACATAATCTTTCTAGCTGTTGCCTTCTCAAAATTCCTCCATCTCAAAATTCCTCCTCTTCTATCCTAGCCAGGATTTTTAAAAAAATGTTATAACAAAAAATTACAATATAGGGTATTACAGCAATAGGAGAAAGTTTAAGTCTTTTTCATTCACGTGGATGCTCTTACCCAGTGCTTTGTGAAACAAAGGTCAACCACTTGATTCATATCAATTCATAAAATATCTCCATGCTAGCTTGAAATTTTAAAACATTTTAGGCAATAATAATAAGAATTTTGGAGGAAAAGTGAGCCGCCTTCTGCAGATTATCTGATTTAAGTCTTCCAATGAGCATTGGTGGGTATGGTATACTTTCCTTTGAAGTAGGTATTAAACTGCTTAAGCACCTTTAAAGGTAAAATAATTTGAAGGAGGGTAAAATAATGGAATCTTGCCCATCACAATCTGTCAGTGAATTATGTAAGTCCAGTACTGTTTTATGCCTATACATTTTAGGATGAGTAGCATTGTTTTAGAAAATGTAATCTTGTTCTTGAAAAATCCTTTTAAATCTTTCCTCTGTTCTCCCTTCTAGGTGCTTTTATTGTGTGCTGGACTCCTGGACTTGTCGTACTACTCCTTGATGGTTTGAATTGCACTCGTTGTGAAGTTCAGAATGTTAAAAGGTGGTTCCTTCTCCTAGCTCTGCTGAACTCTATCATGAATCCAATAATTTACTCTTACAAAGATGACGAGATGTCGAATACTATGAGGCGCATGATTTGTTGCTCATTTGAGGAGAGAAGCCAGGAGCGGCGGTCTTCAAGGATCCCCTCGGCAGTGCTCGGCAGGAGCATAGATTCTTCTAGCCAGTACTTGGAAAATGGCATTAGTCAAGTGACCATCAGTGGCAAAGAAAATACATGAATTCTCCTCCTCCTCCTCCAAATGGGGACTGCAGCGGGGGTAGGCCACAGTCCAAATGATCTCTGAGCCACCTGAGATCACTGAACCCTGAAACCACAGAAGAATATGTTCTCTGTACCAAAACCCAGATCCCAGGGTTACCTGACATCTTTGTAAATAATTACTGGATGGGGAAAAATGTACTTGAAAGGATGTGAAAGAATAGAAGGAGTGGTTTCAACTCTGCAGTGTTCCTTTTAAATCTGGAAACAGTACAAGCAGCATTATAGAGTCTCCTTCCTCAGAGGTCTAGGCAGTGGTGAGATGTCACTGTGCTAGGGCTGCACCTTAACAGCCAATTGTGGCAAGGTGGCAGGGTCAGCTTCTCAGGAGACGGTGGGGGGTGGGGTGTTCCTCATCCTCAAGTGAGGCTTTATTTTTACATCTTTTGAGGGCTGCCATCCCCAATTACGTTTTTGGTACCTGGCCCAAAAGTACCTCAGTTGCCAAACATTGGACTCTCTGTCAGTGCTCAGCACTTCCTTCTGACAAATATCTGTTCATTAAGCAAAGATTAAGCGAATACTCCAAACCAATGAGTGCTTTTCTGCAACCACAACAAAGCAGCTGGTTGGTTCTATGGTGCCAAGTAAGGCATTTTAGTGGCCCAGCAAGTAGGAGAAGACACTAGTAGGTGGCAAAATGGATTGCACCACCATTGCAGACTTGGGGTTGTTCCCTTTTAATAAAAAGCCAACACAGGTAACCATGATATTATGGAATATTGTAAACTAGCTTCTCCACAATGTTCCAGTTCTTTACATGAAGGGCTTTCTCTTTTGTGATTATCATTTCTGTAATAGAGAGTATTCAGTCAGTTTTGCTACCTCTCTTCTGTCTGAAGTGGTACAGCCCAGACACCAATTTCTTTCTTTGAGAAGGAGTTAGGCCAGAATTAGTTTGGTTATTCAGAGTGGCTTTTAAATTGTTTGCTTTAGGTAGCAGCCTACAGCTGCTCTGAACTCAGGGGGATTTGCTTCTGAGTAAATATAGTCGGCTGTTTAGTGTTATAAGTGGAACATTGTACATGTTCTGCAATTAAGCATTTTAATAAAGATTTTTCAGGCTGTAAATGTGAGTTGTAGAACCAGCATTTGTCCTTTATCTGCTATTTAACTCTACCCTACACCCAATCTGTGTAAAGTAGTAGTTTCTATGCTTGTCATTTTCTACTCCAGAGGGGCAAGATTTAGTAACATTCAAAAAAAATTAGAGCATGCTAAAGTCCTCCCAATGTAGCTTCCATGCATGTCAATAGGTCTAAAAATTATTAGCATCTGTTTTAATTGAAGGAGTGGACTTATTGTGGTATGTCATCAAAAATATAAAGGATTTTGCCTCACAATCATTTATGTACATACAACCCAGTGTATTGCTAACAGAAGAACATTAGACATTTTGTTAGTAAACTGAATTTTTTTAATGCATGTGAGTTATCAGTATAGTCAAGGTGGTATATGTTATAACCAGAAGAAAAAGAAAAAGGCAATAATATTTATCAGCTGTATTTGATAGCAGTAATCTTTTCAGGTTAGTATAAGATCCTGAAAAGATATTTTTTGCAAAAGAATGAATTTGTATATACTGTTATTACAATATTTTAATTTTAAAAAATCTTAATATGTACAGATTGCTTTTCATATGTTACTTTTTAAATGGTTTAATGCCTGTGGAAAGTATGAAGGAAAGGATTATCTAATGTTTAAAATAAATGCTTTATATTTGATTTTGAGCACAAGTTACTGTTTTTTTTTAAAGAAGAAATGCTAAAGGTCTAATCACACATGATCTCATAATTGCAATCATGTTTATTTAATCACATGTGATGAATGGACAATGATGGATAGTTTCTATTGAGGGGTAGTTTATCCTTTCTTTTTCATGCTGCAATTGTCTTAAAAAATCCTGCCTGCAACTAACAAAAAACAATCACTAAGATTATGTATAGTTAAGGTCCAGAAAATTAATCAAACTGTTCCCATAAAAAAGGACAAGGAATAACTGCTTTCCAAGGTGAGGTGAAAATACTATTTGTTATTTATACAGTATGTACTCATTTATTCTGTAACGTGAATATTTTGGCCTCAGTTTGGAAATAACCATGTATTGAAAGAAAGAGGTCCATTTTCTCTTCCTGTTGTTTCCGGCATGAAAAGGAATCAAGGGAGCCCAGATTAATTTAATGTGATAGGCTATAACTCAGATGTAAGCTTCATTCTTTTTTTTTAAAGTATATTTTTTTCTTCTAAAAGAATTTCATTGTAAGAATGAAAGGAAAGATTGTATTCTGGATTTTCTGCTGTTGCAACCTGCAGAGGCATATGAGAGAATTTGTTGTTAGATCTCCTAGATGGGCTAAGAATGGATAACGATGAAACAACTTGCCTGCTATTGTTTGTTACAGCTACATATTTTTATGATTTTACATTTAAGACAGTTAAAAAAATAACAGGCCACCCTAGAAACAAAAAATATCCTATGTTTCTTGGTAAAAATAAAAGTTTCAGAATCTTATTTCAGCTTTCTTCACTTGTCAGTAGTATAATCATTCTCCAAAACTCATTTAATTCTTATAGAGATAGTCTAGGTTTGTGAGCACATTTGGGGCCAGCAAGAAGAAGAACTTACATCAACTGTCCATTGCTTTACAGAGCTGCGGGGTCATAAAATGTGGAAACTTGTTGCAGTGACTTTTTCATCAACATTGCAACTTCACTAAACAAGTCAGTTGCTAGATCAAAACTGCTGCCTGTATGTTTTTTCTTGTTTCCTATTGTATCCTTCACTAGAAGCATTCCATGAGAACAAAGTCTCATCCCCATGACATCCGTCCCCTTGGTTTTAGTTTTTATATAGCATTTAATTATTTTATTTTTTATTTCTATATTTCTTAACTAAGCTGCCAGAGTCTTTATCTGTGAGAGGGGCAGCATCTAAATTTTTATAACTCCATTATCTCTTTTCCAATGTAGCACACCCTTTAAAAAAAAGCAACTAACTGCAGTTCTCTATTTTTCTATCCTTAGTATCTGATTAAATTATCCAGAGAAATAAAACACAAGTACAAAAGTACAAGTTAAAAAAGCTTAAAATACAGAAAACCAAATCTGAAAAAAGAATGAGGGGAAAATATCAAATGGCTTCTATAAGCCATAGTTATTGGTAAAAGCTTTTACTTTTGACTGTGCTAAGGTTATAGTACTGCACAGGCATTGCTGAATAAATATTCCCAGCAGCTTCAGTCAATTAACATGACCATTTTTAGAGAGGTTGGAACCAGAGGATCAAAGATTGCCTGTCCTTGATCTACTTCAATTCTTTAATTAATGCAAAATTGTGAGGCAGAGTAAAGCTATATTTCTAAAAAGTACTACTTCCACAGAAGAAGGGACCCCATCATCTTCTGAGGTAATCTTTTGCACAGTACTGCCCCCTGGAGAACATAACTTTTCCTAATAGATAAAAACTTTCATCCTGATAGTTGAATAGAGGCACTTGAAAGAGAAAGGCAAATGAGTGCTGGCTGATAAGAATCTACAAGTAGTTCTGCTTCTCTCTGTGCAACCTTGAAAAACCTGCTCCTTCTCCTCTTACATAAAAATATGATTCAAATAGTAGCTTATTGCTTTATCTATTGTGTCTCTTGATTTTTTTTTTCATGCTCCATTTCCTTCATTTTCTCTCACAGCTACAGCTAAAGCTATTCACCTCTCCCATCATTCCAACCTTATGGCACTTGCTCTCGACCATCTAAGAGGCTTCCCGTCTTATTTGAAATCCTTCAGCTGCACATACACACACCTAGCCTTTCCCTATTTCAACCTAGTCATTCTGTGTGCATCTGGTGAAGCGAGCTACAAGGCATCTTCTGAGACTAAGACAGAGTATTTAGGTCTACACTTGTGTACCATTATGGTAATCTATCCACATTAACTAGAAAGCCAACCAACAAGAGAGAGAGTTCAAGCATGGTCATTCAGTTATGTTACATTCCTATGAATGAACACCCATTAAAAGCAGTGATTATGACAAATTCTGGTATTTTTTAAAAAAAAAATATTCCACCTGTTGCTTTCCTCAACAGTTTCAACCAGGAATGCTGGCTGCTGCCTACAGCTTTTAAGTGGGTGGAGTAATCATTATAGTCAGAGGTAAGGTAAGGTAAGGCAAGGTTTTGAGGACAAATGCCTATATAAATAGGGAATATCAAGTTAAGTGGTGTTGTAAGCCAACTGTCACCTCTTGATGAGATGAATGGCATATAACTTTAATAAATAAGTCTGGGTGGGTGTCAAGACGGCAGCCACAACTGCAGGAACAAAAACCCTGCTCTTTTTCCTATGCATCATATATGAAACAGATTAAAATAAATCAACATATTGAGCTAATACTGTTTTCTAGAGAATATGAGGCCGTGATAAGCTAAGAACCAAGGGTGGGATTCTACCAGTTCGCACCTACTCGCTAGAACTGGTTATTAACATTCTAAGCAGTTCGGAGAACCAGTTATTAGAAGAAATTATTGGCCTAATCATGTAAGGAAGGCAGGAAGGAAACATTCTGGTGTTGCTTACAGAAACTGCCTCTCCGTTAACCCTTATTACATTCTTGGCAGGACTAGACTTCCTGTCTCAGGAACGTCTCTGGAGTTTTTTTCCCCTCCTTTGCTGGTACTTTGCTTATGTGGAGTGACCATTCAAAGTTACAATGGCACTGAAAAAAAGTGATTTATGACCATTTTTCACAATTATGACTGTTGCAGCATCCCCACAGTCATGAGAGGCCAGGCAAGAAGATGCATGCCTCGATATGAGTGATATTGAGTTGGCCATGCCCAGCCAATAACATGACCACCAAGCCATATCCACACAGTCACATGACCATCAAGCCACACCCACCAACTAAGCCACGCCCACAGAACCAGTTGTTAAAAAATTTGAATCCCACCCCTGGTAAGAACACCAAGAACTCTATGAAATGAAAGTGTGGCAAATCACAAAA